CTCAAGCTATTGCCCTGAGTAGAGTGCTCTGGCATCACAGCTCACAGCAACCTCAAACTCCTGGGCTTAAGCAATTCTCTTGCCTCAGCCTCCCAAGTAGCTGGGACTACAGGCGCCTGCCGCAATACCTGGCTATTTTTTGGTTGTAGTTGTCATTGTTGTTTGGCAGGCCCAGTCTGGATTCAAACCCACTAGCTCTGATGTATGTGGCTGGCACCTTAGCCACTTGAGCTGTAGGCACCACCCCCCACCCCTTGTACTTTTAATCTGCTTGTAGGTCATACCTACCCTTATATTGCCCAAAGTTCAAAGTTTTAGATGCTTTAGAATTATTTTGATTGATATAAACATCCTCATGAGATAAGGCAGGCTACAGAAGAGAAATTTTATTCATTCTCTGAAGGAGCAACACAACCAATTTAAAAACCATTTGGATTCTATTTGCTGTCTCATGTGCAGTGGCCCTGAAGCACAAAACTAGATTTTGTTTCGAAATGTGAGCATCAATAAGAGGGAGGAAATGAAGCCTGAGCTGAGACCTAAAACATGTAGAGGATCTAGTCAGGCAAACAGAGGGAGAAAAATATTTCAAGCAGATGGAAATATGACAGAAAAGCAATTTTGTGAATTCATCTTTGTGTCACATAAGAATCTGGAGACACTCAGTACTTAATATATGATATCATTTACTTATCTATCCTGGGGTCCCACTGGACCTCAAGCTTTTTAATGGTAGAATTCCTGAAGTAGGTGCCAAATGAATATTGGTGTCACGAGTGAGTGAGTGACTAGTTTAAAAGTGAGTGCTAAAAGAAAGGGCTAGGTGAAAGACACTGATATAGAATAGAGAGCCACATAGAGAAAATGAAGACAGAAACTGAGGAGAATACTGTACAGAGAGAAGGAGGGAGAGAATGCAGCAGAGACGGATAAATAGTAAGGGACGCCCAGAAAAGGAGACAGACAAAACAGGGACTGGGAGCTCTGAGAGAGAAGCAGTAGTCAGATGTTTGGCTGTTTAGCAATTGCACCAGAAAAACTTAGCATTTCCTTTAAAATACTTATTAATCTTTAAACAGTTCAGATCCAGGTCCTTCTGCACTTATTAACTGATTCCCTGCTTTTTTTTCAAAATTCAAAGTTTGTTTCTGAAGGCTTGTTTTCCTAAAGAATTTTGAAGGCCTTATATAGGCATAAAGTAATTACTTAGATTTTAGTGGATTTTGGATTATTAGCAGTATCCAATTTACCAGTCCTTACTGAAAATCCTTTTACATTTTAAAAATCTGTCAGATTGTCTGTCTGTCTGTCTTCTTCTTCTTTTTTTTTTTAGAGACAGAGTCTCACTTTGTTGCCCTGGGTAGAGTGCTGTGACATCACAGCTCACAGCAACCTCCAGCTCTTCGGCTTAGGCAATTATCTTGCCTCAGTCTCCCAAGTAGCTGGGACTACAGACACTCGCCACAACGCCTGGCTTTTTTTTGTTGCAGTTTGGCCTGGGCTGGGTTTGAACCCCTGACCCTGGGTATGTAGGGCTGGCACCCTACTCACTGAGCCACAGGCACCGCCCAGTCTGTCTTCTTTAACAGAAGAACTGCCATGTACTGTGGGGGGAAATTCTGCTTGAAACCAGAAGTTATTATTCTGAACCATTTGATTTTATTTCAGGCAAACCCATTTGGGGGTTTTGGGAGTCCTTATAGGGATGAGGAACAACATAGGAACAATTAAAATCTCAGTTCTTCCCCCTCTCAACCTGGGCGATGTACTTCTAGGTGAGTATAAGGGTAACTATTACAGTTAGGACTTCAGCAGGAGCTGTCAAAGCATCTGACTTTGGCTAGATAAAGCCAATAGACCAAGATATACTCCTAGATAGATTTCTCAAAGATTTGGTCCAAGGAATCAAAATGAACTAGGATGCTTGTTAAGAATGTCTCTCAGCTCGGTGCCTGTGGCTCAACTGGCTAAGACACCAGCCACATACACCTAAGGTGGCGGGTTCGAATCCAGCCCAGGCCC